GTCCAATGGATTGTTTTTTTTTTAATTTCAATTGTTCTTATTGAACAAACTTGTTGAATAAAAATAAGAACAGAAAACTATTTGAACTGCAGCGTACTTTGAGTTTCAGATACATATACTGTATTTGTGTTATGCCTTGATATAATTTAAATTGGTTTTTTTTCCTACTTACTTACATTTTCTCCATTATATTCTGTATCTCTTGATGGAAACAAAATTCTTTCAGCTAAACATTAGTTTTAGCGATTAATGTTAATTTAGTTTCATTTGCCAAGTTCCATCGGAGTATTTAATACAAAAAAGACTGCTTAAAATGTCGTATGTTCTCTCTTATTACTTTCTAATGTATTCTATGCAATATAGATGGATGAGTGAGTGAAGGAAATAATGAATTATTTATAGAAGAAAGTTGTGTAATGATTTTTTATGGATTCTTTATAATGAATTATGTGGTAGCCCTAATAAGGGCTGATTTTTTTTCGAATATCGAGTTAATAATTGGAAAAAACTTCTACTGAAGTTAAATGACAAGTCATTTAAGCTTTTGGTGCTTTGGCTGCTTTTGGTTTTTTGGCTGCAGCTGGTTTCTTTGCTGTTTTTGGTTTTGGTGTCTTTGGCTTCTTTGGGGCAGCTGATTTCGATGGTTTGGTTGCCCTTTGCTTTGATGGAGCCTTCACCTTTGGTTTGACCGATTTCACTTTTGGTGTACCGGCTTTCTTTGCAACTTTAGCGGTGCCTGCAGCGGCTTTCTTTGCTACTGGCTTCTTCTTGGCTCCTTCTTTTTTGGCGGCTGGTTTCTTTGCTGCTGGTTTCTTCGGTTTGACAGCCTTTGCCTTCTTCACTGGCTTCTTCTTCTCGACCTTTGGTTTAAGAGCAGCGGCTGACAATTTGAATGAGCCAGATGCGCCTTTGCCTTTTGTTTGAACCAATTGTCCCTTGACGACAGCGCTCTTCAAGTACTTTTTGATGAATGGAGCCAATTTCTCGGCATCAACCTTGTTGTTGGCGGTGATGTACTTCTTGATTGCTTGCAGGGATGAGCCACCGCGTTCTTTCAATGCTTTGATTGCATCGTTGACCAATGTAGCGGTTGGTGGATGGGTTGGTTTCGATGCTGGTTTCTTGGCCTTTGGTACCTTTGCTTTGACAGCTGGAGAAGCTGCAACTGGTGCTGGTGCTGAGTCGGCCATTTTAATTTCGCTTTGTTAAAAATTCGCTTTGTAATACACAGAATACAAACGTATGACTTGTATGGCACGCGTCACTTCGTACATTGATCGAGACCGTTCCTTTCGGAGCGCACCGATCACAAAACACTTTTCTACCTATTTCGATTAGTGTAAATGTGATGAAGTCGTTTCACATTTTTGCGTAATTTTATTAAAGAAATCACAATGAAAAGCGGATTTTAAGCATTTGCCCAGTTTAGAAGGAATGAATTTATGAAATAAATACGGAAATATTCAAATTGACATATCGAACGAGTCGCAAATATCATTTAAACAAAAAAATGTATTACCATTTGAACAAAATATATTTTCAAATTGAAATAATTTCATTTTCTTCGGCTCGAATTTGGTGATTTCTTCATTTAAATAATACTTCTAACATTTCTCTTCACATCTGCATAGAAATCATACCATTCGCTGCATTATATTTTCTGAATTTCTCCATGGAAGTGTTAGACCTTCCGCACTGAAAATGTCATCGATTCGCTCGTTGTATGGAAACATTGTGGAAGTTTACGATGTGAATAAGAATAAAAATTGGGAAATTCTTTGTGATTTTATCTCATGGTTGATTGAGATTTCGCAGAATATTGGCCAAAAGAATAAATTCATTGATTTGAAGCGGAATCTAGAGTATGTGGCTCAGTACTTGAATTGAAAATGAAACCAAATTGAAAGCAACTATGAATTTCTGTTGACTTTTTTTATTATTTTGCATCGATAATGACAATTATGTCCGGCTGGCATTGTAAGGAATGAGTTCTATCAACTACAATATGGATATTTACCCAAAAAAATTAAGTTACATACAAATACTTCGAAGGTGATCCAGATGACGTGGCTATACCATGAGTAATCGAATTTGATTTTTTTTTTTTCAAAATGCACCTTAGATCAAAATTCCAATCTTTCATATCATTCGTTTTTATTTTTCAGTCTTCTTTGGCTTCTTAATTTGGGAAATTTTGTAATTTTGTTTTCATTTAGTTCGCTCTGCAGCCATACAATATTCAATGGAAAGCCAAATTAAAAGAGAATAGAGGTCAATTGTATCACCAGTAAAGAGTAAAAGTTTTTTCAAATTTGAATTGGTTTCTCTTTTATTTCAACCGTATACTAACCTTGGCCGCTTGAGACGATATTGTTTGAAAATCTCTATCGAATTTGTCTTCAAAAAATCCGAATAAATTCGAAAAAATGTCAACCTCAATAGCCCAAGTAAAATTGAAGAAATTTTGAAATTCTCGTAATAGATATTTATTTGTCCAAAATATTTAAATAGATAGCTTGCATTACCCTGATAATATAGTTCCCTCCATTCTTTATTCAATGTACAAATAATTCCGCATTTCATAAAAACCATACATTATATGCACCCGAAAACAAAATGGCTTCTAAGCAGCTATATAAAAAGTAATGAAATTCATTTCACTTAAATGAAAAAGTCACAGAATTAAAATACGGCGTATGTAATACTTAAAAAAGTTATAAACAAGCAAAATTCATGCAAAGCAAGAAAGAAAACAGTCATGTGTCAAATTGAATGTAAGATAATACTGTGTAGAAAACTTTAATTTAGTTTCAAACCATCTTATATATTTTTGATAAAGAAATGCTATTTATTTGAAATATTGAATATTTTCCGTTAGAAATTTGTTGATTTTTTTAAAATCTTTATAAATTATATATTTGGTGGCCCTGAAAAGGGCCGATTTTGGTTGTTTTGATGTCGAAACAAATTTAGGCTTTTTTGGTTTCGGTCTTCTTTGGCAACAAGACGGCTTG